GGTTGGTTTGTATTGAGGAGACCCAAGGCTGGATAGGATGTGTTGGGTTGGGTTGAGGAGACCCAAGGAAGATTGGATCAGATTAAGAAGACCCAAGTCTGGTTGGGTTGGGAAGACCCAAATCTGGTTGGGTTGGGTTGAGGAGACCCAAGGCCGGTTGGGTTGGGAAGACCCAAATCCGGTTGGTTTGTATTGAGGAGACCCAAGGCTGGGTGGGATGTGTTGGGTTGGGTTGAGGAGACCCAAGGAAGGTTGGATCAGATTGAGAAGACCCAAATCTGGTTGGGTGGGGTTTATCAAGAAGACCCAACACGCTTTGAGTTCTCTGCATTGAAGTGGCCTCGTTGGCCAAGGTGAACCCGCTCCTGGCACCGAACCGGAGACCGGATACTTCTCCCACAGGTCAAGAACCTGACGGAGGAGATGGCGGGGCTGGACGAGACCATCGCCAAGCTGACCAAGGAGAAGAAGGCCCTGCAGGAGTCCCACCAGCAGACCCTGGATGACCTGCAGGCCGAGGAAGACAAAGTCAACACCTTGACCAAGGGCAAAGTCAAGCTGGAACAGCAAGTGGACGATGTGAGTGTGTGACCGGTCCCACCCCTTGACCCGCCAAGGAGCTTCTGGGGCAGAGATGAGGAAAACCTGAGGTTTCTCCCCATTTCCGTGTTCCCACCCAGCTCGAAGGCTCCCTGGAGCAGGAGAAGAAGATCCGGATGGACCTGGAACGGGCCAAGAGGAAGCTGGAAGGTGACCTGAAGCTGACCCAGGAGAACATCATGGATCTGGAGAACGACAAGCAGCAGCTGGAGGAGAAGCTAAAGAAGTGAGGCTGGTCCCCCATCCCAGGTACAACCCGCCCGGGGGTGTAGGTGGGACCTCACCACCCGCTTCTTTCCTCTGCAGGAAGGAGTTTGAGATCCACCAGCAGAACGGCAGGATCGAGGATGAGCAGGCCCTGGCCCTGCAGCTCCAGAAGAAGCTGAAGGAGCTGCAGGTGAGGGGCTGGGTCTGCGTCTGCTTGGGCTGGGCTGGAGAGTCTCCAGGTGGTTGGGTTGGAGTCTCCAGGTGGTTGGGTTGGGTTGATTTGAGTTGGGCTGAGGAGTTGAACCTTCAGCGCTTGGTTTGGGTTGGAGAGTCTCCAGATGGTTGGATCGGGGTGAAGATTCTCCAGGTGGTTG